CAGCGGGAGCAGGCTTGAGGGTGAGCAACCGTCGCTGCTGTGGGGACGGGAAGCTCCGCCCTGCCCTGCCGGGAGGGGGACTGAGGCCTGCGGCAGCAGCGTCCCCGAGAAGTCCCATAGCTCAGCTGCCAAACCCGAGCAGAGAGCGGAACATCAGCGTGCGGTTGCACCATGAGAATGGGGTATGTCGGGGCGGCTGTTTCTGGTAGTAGTGCTGGTTTGTGCCGTGTTAAAGTGCTTGGCAAACTTACTAGTTGATAAAAATAATGTGTAATGAGGGACCCAGGAGTTAGGCATCGTTAGAACTAATAAACAGCTTGATAAAGAGTGTGTATGTCAAATCTAAACGTGACTTAGCCTTTCGTCTTTGTTACCCCTGTGTATTTGTGCTTTCTACATGCTAGTTGGTATAATAGAGGATACTATCTTTTCTCTACAAACCAGAGTTCCCATAGTTAAAATACAGGACTAGGTAATTGTTTACTAATAAGTTTATGGAGAGACCACAGCTCAAAACTTAATCCTGAGGGAAGGCAGAAAGAAGGAATGAAGTGAATCGTTTGCTTAATAGTATCTGGGACTGGATTTTTCATAAATGATTTATGCTTTAGTCTCTGTGATCTCAGTGTAAGGATAACTGAGTCAACTCTTTAGCTAAACAGCTTCCCTTCTCTGGTCTTAAGTTTCCAATATGCATTTCCACCACTGTACTGCCTACATGATGATATGGTTATGAGTATCAGGTTCTGCACTTCACAACAGCCAGCTAAAAGGCAGTGGAGTGTGTGCAGGGTTTCAAATTTTTCTTGTTAAACTTTTAATATTTGTTCCTAAGGTAATGAGTATTTTATGGTTTTGTTTCTATTTTGAGGCATAATGTTTTTAACAACGGTATTATTCCGAAAGAGAATTCCTGGAAAGCAATGGATTGGGAAGTACAGGCGACCAAGAGTGGTTACCCTTCCAATGAAGCAAGCAATGATCCGAAGGTTGGAAATTGAAGCAGAAAATGAATATTGGCTGAGTCAACCTTACCTGACACGGGAACAGGAGTACAAACATAACACAGAAGAGAGACGTGCAAGATGGGAGGCTTTAAAAAGCCGGATGAGAGCCAAGTTGCCTGAGCACAGATACATCAGTGATCACTTAAACCACTTAAATGTGACAAGAAAGTGGACAGCTTGAATAATGCAGTGTGTTTGTATTTGACATGTATTATGCGCTACTGTGGCATCTGCTGTTGTACCTGTTACGGTAGTTTTGTAATTCAGTATAATATGGGTGGATGGCAAATGAGCCTTTGCTGCGGTGTACACAATCTTACATTAAAAGGAGGCCTGTGGAACAGTGTATGTTCTCTATTGTTGTCTCTTCAGAAAAGACAGCTCTTCCCATGGTGCTCTGCCATCTGCCTGCCTTGTGTTCTTCAAGGGCTTTGCATAAACCAGCGTGAGTTACCAAGTGTGGTGAACTAGATTTATTGCTTCATTAATTGCCTTTTGAAGGCTTGCAGAACATACCTGCCCTGTTGAAAGGGATTATCTGCTGGTACTGACCAGGTGGCTCTTACTGGTTGCTCCCCTTTCTGAAGGGGTACTTCTGTATACATCAGTACATGTCAGAGGCAGCTGATGATAGTTACATAGTGCTGGTTTCATCAGGCATGCAGGGACCACGATGAACTAGAATTAGAGGTGTGTGAGGCTGGAGCTTCTGGAATACTGTAAAACATCCAGTTTTAAACTTTCTGCAAAGAATTGTTGAATTTAAATGCCAGTGTCATTGTCATGTCAATGTCAACTTGGGTGTTACTGCTCTCTTAAGAGCATTATTTATGATCTAAAAGGAGCACAGCTGATTTCTAAGTTATGTTTAGTGTCCTAAAGGACATACAGTCAGCCACAAGCCAGAGGTTTCTTAGTTCCTCTCTCAAGACCAAATGACCTGAAGGAGTCAGGAGTGTGTAATCTTAGGTGTTGCAGCTGGAGTGTAAAAACTGGCATGGTTACAAAACGCTTCCCACCAGGCGGGTTTTCTCCCTGATCCAACATGCACGTGCTACAGCTAAGCCATTTTCAGATTCTTTCACATACTTTTATTAAGTTGATGTTGCATTCACTGATGAATTCAAGTATCAAGTCCATTCATATTTTATCACATTGGAAAAGAGGCCTAAAATGGTACAACTTTTTTTATTTTAACACAAACATTACTTCAGAGAAGTATGAACAGGTCCAAACACTAATGTACAAAATCCTGAATGCACTTTTAGTGGCTATAAATGGCTTAAGATAATATTTATGGAAAAGCATACATGTGGGGAAAATTGCACAATACAATTAAAAAATGAAGGAACTTCCAGGCAAAGCAGTGTGATTTTGTATTTAATTAATTTATAAAAGCCCCTTTTAAAAAGTTACTTCAAGTATTAAACCATAAATAATGGCAACGTGTTTTCTCTGTGCATAGGACTAGTCCTATCTGTAACATACAAAAAATAAAATGTGCTGTTACTACATAGATCTTTTACACTTCACCTCAGATTTCAGTTTAGGCAGCACAGTTAAAAACAAGCACATGGAAGCAGAACAGTTGGGACAATTTGAGTAGTGCAAATGTTGATGACCTGTGCTGGCAAATAACAATCATAACTGCAGAGAGAACCCAGGGACATTTAACCTGTCCAGGTTAAAGAGGGGGCAGGTGTAACAGCAGGGATGCTGCCTCCTTCCATGGTAGTTCGATGATTGTAAATTGTTGATCAGAAAGGAGCATGCTAAGCATGAGTTGTCAGCTAAGCAATGTGAAGGGAAGGGAATCTGCATGTGGCTGTTAATGCTTTAGTGCCAACAAAGATGATTCCAGCATTTCATTCCCCAACACATCTGCCTGACTGCTGAGCCGTGTGCTGTTTCCTGGGACAGGACAGGAAACCCCCAAACCAAAGAAAACAATCCTGTAAACATTGTCAGACTTCACTACCTCATAGAAACAAGATTCAAGTAAATGCTACAGAAAATAAACAGCCAAACATCAGTTTGAATCAGCATTAAAAATAACTACAACTTGCAGATTCTTTACATTTCACAAGTTATGGAATTAAGAAAAATGCATATAAAAAGCTGTCTATATATACAAAATAAATTGATAGAAATGAGTGTAGTGTGTTCAGTATTAAATCACTTCATATGCAGCTGCCCTCTTTGGTGCCATTTAGGGTTAGAAGAGCCTCTGATGTGCATACCTAGCTATTTGGTAGGTACTGTGAAAGACTTGATCTGCACTGACTGAAAGTAGCCGCTGCTCAGAGCCTCCGGACGTGCATACTTGGATCCCCCAGCTGTATACAGTTTCAGACAGTGGCCTCAGAGAATTTAATGAAGTTCAAAGTTGTTTACTTGTTTTAAAATTTTTTAATAAATATGGTCAGTCAGTGCTTCAGATACAGCGTCTGGTTAATCAATGTCAGAATCTGTGACTTGGTAAGCCAGACACTAATGCTGCTGTAAATGCTGCAGTTTTCCTCCTCTTGGGGCTCTGATAAGCTACAAGTGGACTGTACTTCAATCAAGAAGTTCTTTGAGTGCATATTGAATGTAACCACAACCTCCAAACCCCAGAAGATTAGTTACAGTAACAGAAGAGCCACAAGAGGTCAAACGAGGGAAGGAACAGTACCTGAAAAGTGCAGGCATTTAGCACCCTGGAGAACGGGGCTGGTTTCTAAGAACAGTATACCAAAAGCAGCTTGGTACCTGAAAATTCCACACTCAAGAGACCAGCTTTAACAAAGTTACTGTAATTTCTACTCATATCACTAAAGATAGAAGTTCCCAAACTCCCTCCAAGATAACCCTCTGAATCTTTAAAGTGGAAGTTTTTAATCAAAGTCTTGTGATGTATATAACCAGTGACACTGCAGTCTCGGGCGATGCTGCAGGAAAACTGCACTTCTTTCTGCCTTGTCCCCATCAAGTGCCTTTGGTAGGAGCGGCAGTGATGTGTGTGGTGTGCACTCTGAATAAATAATCCTAAGGAAAAAAACAGATTTAAGTATGTGCTATTAATGGATCTGCTGCCTCTTCTTCACGGGGACAGCTTTATCATCACAAGACATTTCAGAAACCCAGAGGACAATTCACACTGAAATCTTGCCCTGCCGCAGGCTCCTTTTTTTTCCCACTGGGAGTTCAGTAACATTCTGTGTGTATGACTCGTGTGGGTATGGGGGATTTTTTTTTTAAAGAAAAAAGCAGTAAGAACTACTAAAAAATAGTCTGTAATTGCAGCCAATGTCAACTATTCTGTAGTAACTACTATTTATGGCTTGCAATAGTAATTTGATGGATCTAAAAACTTAAGGGCTGTTACTTTTAGTGACAAGCTAGGTATTTTCAAGAATGGTGATACAAAGTAGGTTAAAGCACAAACCCAGTGTGTACAACATGACCCAGCACCCTGAACAGCTGGTTTCTCAGGATCCATCTTCCTCCTGCTCTTCTTGCTGCATTCACTGCAAGTTCTCAGCAGATGGGGCAAAGGGTCCATTTCCTAGAGCACCCTGACAGCCCCTAGCCACTGCTGGCAGCAGTACCAAAGTTTACTTGAGCTCAACAGCCAAACAGCTGTTTGTCCTCCCCAACTCGGTCAGCAGGTGGTGAGCAATTATATTGTGCAGCACTTGTGGTTCTTGGGCTTTATTTTTCTTGCCCTCCTGCTCTTTTCATTACAATTATTATTATGTTTATTTCAATTATTAAACTGTTCTTATCTCAGTTGAAGGGTTTTACCTTTTTCTGATTCTCCCGATCCCACCAGGGCCAGGGGAAACAAACACATAGCTGTGTGGTACTCAGCTGCTGTCAGGGTTAAACTGTGACAGCATGTATGTATTATCTCAGCTGTAACACACTGATGTAGTAAAAGACACATGATACCCTGGCCCCTCCATTACACTTCCCACCTGTGTTTGGGGATGCAAATTTTGGTATTCAGAACAAGCCACTTACTTAAACTTGCAGCCTTCTGTCATCTCTTTCAAGAAATTTTGCTGGTGCATTACTGCTGCAAGCTTATGTTCAGATGAGCATTTCTCACTTGACAAGAAAAAGCTAAACCTTTCAGATTAATGTGTAGCAAATGTTTTTTTAAGTTTTAAAATTAGCAAATGCAAAATTCCTTGTACAAAGTTTGAAGAAACATTCTGCAACATTTATAAAACATGCAAGTTTGGACTATTACTTCTATCTCAAGAACATCCAATAGTCACCCAATCGCGTTCATCAGTTCTCAAAGTGTTCTTGTTCTAAAAGATTAATATCTAAGAAAAAATTATTTCCAAAGAAAAAAACCCAACTTGCTTTAAACCTTACAGTACTCGACACCTTAGCATCTCCATCATAAACATACTACTTGGTACTACCTTCAGTCTGTATCAAAAGGGCTCACATCTGTTTATTATCAGCATCAGCTGAACATCAGAAAAGTTACAGACAGGGAAGTAGTACTTGTAATTTCTTCCAGGTGCAAAATTCCAACACCACCCAAAGATGAGATAGCAGTCTTCTATAGAGAAGCAAGGGGAAAACCACCCATGGTGTTTGCTGTCGGTCTTGAGCTTAGGATGAACTTTATTCCTCACACAGGAAACACATCTTGCCTTTTGGGAACAGGTACACCACTGCACGAAGCACTCAATCTTTAGCAATTTCAGCATCACAAACTGGACTTGAAAGTGGCAGACTAAAGCATACAGGTTTTCAGTGTGTTAACACAGATGTATGACCCAACTCTAATTTTCTCGTAAGTACTTGAGATTTGTTTAAATGGTACTTCAGAACCAATAAAAACTTGTGCCTTTATTAAAAAAGATAAAACAAATGTATAACAGTATTTATAAACCATCAAGAGTCCCACAGAAAAAGCAGTACTCTTCCAGTTCCATTTTCTAACAACACACAACTGCAATAAAGTTTTCCTCAGGGGTACTTTACCATTTTGTTACTGCTTTATACAGAACGCTGCAAACATTATCAGAGAATGTAAGAACTGTTAATTCCTTTTTGGATTGGCTTTTCTTTGTATGCTGATAGACAAGTGTTGGAAAATAATCATGTTTTTCAACAAAAAAACAAGTTTGCTTCTTCAAGCTCCATTCTTGATATGGTTAAATAAATCAAGTTAAAATGGGGAGAGGTGTCAATCCCTATAGCAAGAAAGCAACACCCAGGTAAAAGGCTTTTACATTGTTGGCATTGCCTTGCTCCAAAGCACAGCCAGCAGAAGGAATCCTCAGTCCTGAAAGACTTGTAGAGCTATGATCATGGGGTAGACTGGTTAACAGGAAGAGGGGAGAAGACTTCATCCAGTCCCTTCCCCATCACTTGGTGTCTGAACTACATATAGTCACACCTCAGACTCACTGTCCATGCTCTATGTTGATTTCCACCCCCCTCCCTGTTTTTTTCCTTTTCTTTTTTCTTTCTGTTCCCTGGAGACCTGCTATGGATGTGACTTCTGCAGTGCCTAAGGTAAGAAGTTTGCCCGTGGGGAGGTAGGAGTCTCTGCAATCAACCCCCACCACTGCAGCATAACAGAAATGCATAGTTCCCACTCCGGACCTCGTGCATCCAAGCAGGGCACTTCAGGGTTTGGCCCTTTGGTAGCAGTATATAATTCAGTGTTGCATAAATGCACATTAAGAATCTTAAGGCATCTGTCTTAACTTCCCTGCTCTGCAATAGTGCTTACAAGAATCCATTGTACTGTGCAGAAACTTGAATTTCTTGTCTCTTCCTAAAATGTTTGTGTTCCATATTTTACTGATCAACTTCTTCCAAACAAAATTAAGTAATATTCAAGCACAAGATGCGTTGCAGAAACCTAGTGAAACAAAAAAAGGTAATTAATTAAATTGTACCACTAGTTTTGAAAAACAGATCAGTGTGTTACAAGAATGCAGGTAGGTAACTTGATTTACAGACTGCTCATGCAGGACAGCAGTGAAGGTAATGTCAGCTTGAAATTTGCCTTCTGGGAGGTGTGGGATTTTTTGCTTTGTTTTTGTTTTGTTTTAAACCTCATATTATAGAAGATTATCTGCACTGAGAACCTCAATCCATCACCACTGACCTGTGGCTGAAGTCTCTTAGATCACAAGAATTAACAAGAATTGCACATTCATTTTGAATCAAACTGATAGGGGGATATAAATGACATTTGCCTCAGTCAGGCTGGGGGACTGGCCTTCTTTTGCCAATCACATTCTTTTTTCTAGAATAATATGGGAATCTTACTCTTCAGCACGACTCCCATTGATTGCTTATGCTGTGTGTTAAGAATTGAAAAATACAACTATCGGTCTGTTCCAGGGTATACAGAAGTGCATGGAACAGGTGTTGTATCTCACTGCTCTTGCATAGTTGCTTACAATTGCAAGGGGACTGGAATTAACCATCTTGGCCTACAGAAACTGTGATCAAATCCAACTGAATTCAGAACAGCTGGAACACTGTGCTACTGAATTAACTGTTATTCGAGATAACACCAAAATGCTTTTGCTTTGGGTGCCGTTATGCACTACTTATTCATACAACTTTTGAAACTACATCATTTTGGGCAATAGCGATTCAAAAAGTACTCAATCTTGCTTTATTAAACTTGGCATGACTTTAGGAAGAGAGGGAGGATAGGAAGGAAATAAATCCCAAACTATTACCACTTAATCGTCTAGCTTAAGCCAGTCACTTACGCTCCCTCTCTAGGTCAGTGGAAAGAAAGATTAAGACTTTTCTCTAATTCCCTACCAAAGGCTGCTGGGGATGAACAGCTCTCAGAAGATACCTATCCCTTTCTATGGAGAGTATAAAGCCCTAGTAGCCTGTTTAGATCAGATTAGTTTTTATAGAGCTAGAGGCTGAATGGAGTCCCTTGCTTGGAATATGCATTTGCACATTTTAAGAAAAGCAGTGAAAGGCAAACTCATCATTGGTGGGGTCTCATGGCTGAGTAGGTTTTTCAGAAGTACCACCAACTAATCTAATTTTGGCTTTGTATGAGTTCACACTGAGCGGGCTGACCAAGCATCACACCATCCCCCACAAAGACCTTTTAGATACATTTTTTTCTTCAAAACAAACCAAGCCTGTTCCCAAAACAGTGATTCTAAGTCAGAAAGCTTATTAAAGAAAAAGTGTGATCCTAAAATTACTGAGTTCACAAAGCTCAAATACTGTGTTTTCTGTCCAAAGACAATGGGAATTCCTTGCAAGTTCTGTCTCTCATGTGGGAAGGAGGGAAGGCAAGGGTGTGTGTGAACGACTCAGCCCTCAGCATCAACAGTTGCTAGTTGTCCAAGTAAGATGTTTCTCTTCCAGAAAGGAAAATTTAATGGGTGCTTATAAGATCACCACAGTATGAGCTCAATATTTAGTCACTGGAAATACACCAAGGAAGTTTTCATATATGCAGCAGCACTCACTGTATTTCCTAAATGCCAAGTGCCCACAGAGCTCTTACATAAAAGATCACTGTCAATTCCGAGTGTGACGAAGCAGTCCCTACGCAGACACCTATATTTATTTACCTATTGACCCGCCTTCCTTGTGCACACACAGCTTCTTAAAAGAGCAGAGCATATCCCACCGATCCGCGATTAAAAAAAGACAGTTCTGGAGCTGTTCCTTTAGAACAGTGCTTCTCCAAGACAGCACTTCATCTTGAAACTGGCTATTTGTCAGATTAGATTCTTCTCCCTGGTCAGGTAACAAATCCAGTACTATCCCCTTCAATCTAAATTACAGGACTAGTCTGACTCATCTCAGATCTAGCCAGGCCATGTTTCCTGCACTACAGCATTACTCCCATTCTTGTCTTCTGAATAGCCATTCCGAGTTTTATTTAGACTCTTCTATTACTCATCCAACTCAGAGGACTCCTCTGCACTCAATGACTAGTAACTTTTGACTTCGAAATGCCTATTTTAGTTTACTCATACACATACAGAAATGGCATGCAATTGTATTGGTCTTACCTGTTTCTCACTGAGATGGTTGGTTAGTAATAAACTGAGATCAGCTTTCCAATGAAACTATAATATGCTTTTTTGCACCTAAAATGTGAGAGAATCTCAATTATGTGTTTTTGCAGATTTGCACAACAAATAGCAAAGACTTCCAACCAGAAAGCACATTTATCATGTTGTGCCTGTTTTAGAAAAGTATTTTCCTCCCCTAATCCAACGGAAAAGATCCAGTCTTAGAACACGAAGTGTGAAAGCAGGAATTACCTATTCATTACCTTAGTGTAATGACTCATTTTAGAGCAGAGCATGGGACACAAGTTACCCTTAACTTCTAAACATGCTGATGTGATTCTATGGAACATATTTTCTTCTACGTGACTCAACCAATTCTTAAGGACTTTTTAGGCCTAAAAAAAAAATGGAAAGACCCGCCACATGCAAAACCATAGCATCATCAGAAGTGTTACAGCACAGGCTACCTGATTTAACATTTTCCTCTTCAGGGACACTTTCCACCCACTGACTGTCACTGGTTAGCAACCGATTTTGTGATTCACTGAGTGGTCGAGTAGGAAAGGACTGATTTGGTCCAGAGCTGAGAAGTAAGCAAAGTCAACACGAATTCTGTAATGGCAGGAGCTGCTTATTTCAGACATTTCTAGCTACTCAGAGCAAGGCAAACAAAACCCTACACTGTCGAATAAAAATGGCCCCCTGCCCCCAACCCTAATTCTCCTATAGGTTTGCTCCAGTCATCAGTCTAAACCCTTACCTGACATAGGCCACTCACAATTCTAATGGCGAAAACCACAGACTGATAGACAAGAAATGACGTACGAACAACAAAGCTACTGCCACACAGTTGAAAAGAAAATGTAACCAGTACTATCTCAAAGACAACCTAGTGCCATTTTATCCCACCAGTAAATGCTAGGGCTTTCTGCTGAACATCTTTCTAATGCAAAAGGACACTACTTTTCGCACAAAGGTCCTGCTCTTTGTAAATTCCACAGGTTATGTTGCACTGGAAGCCAATTCCTCACAGTATTACCTTTGAACCCCTTAATGCCTGATAAATAAGGTGACTGCTGCTCACAACATCAGCTACTAGCTCATGAAACTAACACAGAAGGCTTCTAAAATGGCAAATGTAAACACCCTCAGAAGTGTCACATACTCGAGTGTCTCTGAATCTAAAGCAGACTTCTTGAAAATACACTGAAGATACAAAACATGCAAATTTGAGAGGAGTAAAAAGTAACAAGCTAAAACCCCTCCAGTGCTAAAAGCCAGCAAATAGCCACAATGATCTTGCAAACCGTGTCTCAGCATCCCTTGTTTAAGCATGCTGGAGGAGGTGAGATACAAATACCACCTTGCTTCTCATTCAAAAAAAAAAATCTTAAGTTTGTTTTTTGTTTTTGTTTTTTTCCGTGGACCATTATTCAGCCTCCCCTAGGACTATTTTGATTGTTGCTAAGAGCCAGTAAGCTCTCTCACTTTCTGCATTACTGTTTCCTGTGTAATAGGTCAAAACCAAGAAAACACTTTCTGCATCAAGCAATACCACTTTTTAGTCTTGATTGAGTCTGTCCTTCTCTGAAGACTTACAAACTCACTCTGAAGATGACAAGAAGTATGAAAAATTAAAAAATAAGTTTGAAACAAATTCTTCTCTAAGTATGGAGCAGTACAAAATCAGTATCTTAAATCCTACAGTTACCTTTTGGCAGGTTCATTTTGGCTTGAGACAGCAAGTTGCTCTGGATCCATAATCACCAAACGAGTTGGGAAATTACACCCATCGCCCAAACTAAACCAGAAACAAAGATTCAAATTACTGTTTGTAGTTCACTTTAATGAACTGAACAAGTACCTATGCAACAGGCAAACGCTACAGGCTTGAATCAATTACTTGAGTGCAGCACTGAACTCTGGACTTGAGCAAGGCAGTTCTACCACTAAGCCAGATGATCAGTTAATTAAATCTTGGAGCTCAAATGATTCCCACTTTATCATGCAGTATGGACGACTGAGCACAGCACTAGCCTATGTATTTCAAAAACATCACGGTGTCTCTGTAGACTGTAGCCCTAGTCTTCCCCCAAGCCACCATGCACATGTAGTCAGACTATCTGTATTTACAACCCCAGAAGCTGTAGCATAAATAATATTTTGGTGGCTGTGCTTTTCCCTCCACCCATCATTCTGAGGTTAGCTAAGCCTTCATTTAAAGCAAGTTTAATCAGGATAAAATGTGGTGGCAAAACAGCCTGATCCATCTACAGTATAGCTTCTGTCATGGTAGTTCAGCAAACAGCTGAGGCAACTTAAGATCTTTTTATTACCTCTGCTGCTTGTGACCAGACCTCAGCTTCACAAATAGGTTCACCAACCTGTTAAACTGATCCACTATCCCCAAAAGCAATGTTGAAACATGGCTCCTACTTAGTTCTGCTGACTATCAGGAGTGGTGGGAGTGGGCAGCAGGTCAGTCTTGCTTCAAGCTTATATGAGGCTTGTCTGCGACTCCCTACCACTGGCTCAGCTGAAGTTCTAAACCAGTGTTTTGCATCAGGGTTTTTTTGGGTTTGTTTTTTTGGTGGTGTTTTGTTTTTTTTTGGGGTTTTTTTTGGTTGGTTTTTTTTTTTGGGTTTTTTGTTTTGGTTTTGTTACTTTTTTGCACTGCTGCTTATTTATGTGCACTTTTTCAGGCAGCTTTGATACTGAAACTGTCAGCTACAGCAAAAGGAAAGCTGTCAAACGTTCTTATGGGTAAGAGGGGGTGTTTTTAAACTGATGTTGTTCCAATGCAGTTGAAGTTCAAGCATTTGGATCTCCATTGAGTTGCTGATTTCTGCTCTACAATTTGACACTAATACTAGAGCCCAAAGGTGTACAATTTTTGAAATATACTTCTCAAACCTTTCCAAATTTCTGTATCTGGAAGGCCTTTGTCATTGAATGAAAACCCCACACAGTTTGCTCAGTTTTCTCCTGCACATTTTCCCTACACCAACATTAATCATGCAAGATTTACAAGTTGGCTTTTCAGCTGTTCCTTATTGTTTTAGGAGAAGGGGAAGCAAGGCGAAAGTCACGGAATCAATTTATTCCCAATTCATTCCCATTCAGACTGAATACCTGGTAAAGATAGGGATTAGCCAATACTTCTTTTCATCTCCGAAAACCTCCCTCAGATTTTTGCTGCATCCAAGAGAAAAGCCATTTTTATCAGGACCATTTCGAAATGTAGGTGCACGGAATGTTTCTGCAAAAGAAAAACATGCAGTATCTCTAAAGTGATAAGGAGTCAGGGAAGACAAATAAACAGATTCAAACTTCTCTACTGTGAAAAGTGTTGGGCAAGCTGAGACAATCTTGATGTATATTATTGGGGGGGGAAGTAATTTTGAGTAATCAGAAAGCATTACAAAAATAATCACAGGGTTATTGTCAGAAATGAAAGGTAAGAAAGTCACATAAGCAGAACAGTAATCTTTCTCTCTTTCTCCTCTAACCTAACCTCTGAGACAGAGCTACGTACCATCAGCATGCCAAAGTGGCAAAGATACCACACCCCTTATCCATTAGTGGCTAGTGCTCTCTTTGGCCTGTGAAACCTTCTTTGAGCAGAAGGCTTCCTCTTCCAAAACCAATTTACCATAAACACCACTGGACCTGAACCCATACAGGACAGTTTTTTCCCCACTTCTGTCAAGGTCTGAAGTTGAATTAAGAGCATCCCATGGTATCAGGGAAAGATGATATCTATTACATTAGAAACACAGACACATCACGTGCTGTAGCAAACCACCACCATTTTTCTAGTCAGTCCAGTTACACCCCTGGGAAGTACTGAGAGGACTCATTGCTCTCCCCATACCAACAGCTTGTCTTTTTACAATCATGATCCAGACAGTAAATAAAGCACTGGGTTACCAATTGTGACCACTGACTTTTGGGCAAGGAACATGCTAAAATTTTCTTCAAAGCTAAAAAGGAGACTGAGTATTCCCTAGCTGCAGATATATTAGAAGAAAAAGGATTCAAACAACCTTCCTATCAAGCAATCAAAACATTTCCTTCATCAAAAAATTCTAGCATTCCATTGAAAGGTATAAGATTTTGATTTAACTCAGTTGTGGAAATACCCACCAGTCCCTATCCCCCCCACCCCAGAAAGAAACACTTAAAAAAATGATTTAGCAAGAACGTCAGATATTTTAGCTCATGCACGTAACTTGCTTATGCTGGTCAATGCCATATAAAACATGTAGGCATAGAAATTATGCGAATCTTTCATTATTTAAGAAGTGCGCATCAGTGTTTCCATTTTTATCGCACTGCTTTTACAAGCCACTTCCTAACAGGGTCCATTTTCTCTCAGGATTAGAATACTCTTTTGGATCTAGTTCAAAACATAGCACGCTAATATACAGTAGAGCCTTCACCTGGGCTGGGGCCACCCAGCTACTCAAAGTATTAAAACAAGAGGGTTACTCACAAGTAGCAATTAAGTTACATACTTAACACTATATAAAAACACGTGCATAGAAATGCACAGTGCCTCAGAGATCTCAAAAGTACAAACAGAAGAAATAAACATTCATCATGAATCTGAATACTTGGCCCCAGAAGAGGACCCCTGTATAGCATGTATATGCTTCATTTCCCCATGTTTCACCTTAAATTACTTTCACTAAATATGCTTTTTATTGCACAATACTTAAAAAACCTGTTTATATTCAATGGCATATCCTGTAGACCTCACATTCCCATTGACTTGTTGGTTTTCTGGACAATGAATAGTTCCACATTCAAATTAACTGACCTATGGTTGATCTGTTTTTGCCAACTAGCCAGCAGTGGTAGCTGAAGAGTGACAATATGCTGATGAAGAACATGGCTGCCACAAAGAAAAGGAATAGGATGTGGAATTTTGCATTCAATTCATTCTAGGGAGAAAGAAAGAAAGAGATTAATACATTAATACTTCTTAGCAACTAATGCAGCATTGTCACTAAACATTTTTCTGCCACACCCATTCTGCTATAGGTCTTCCACCTCACTTTTCACAGGTAAAAAAGCACAAGCCCAGCTTTCATTTCATGTCATGTTAGACTGGTATACAACAGACTCGAAAGCTAATGGGTTCTCCTCAACCTGAGTTTAGTAGCATGAGTGCCTACGTTCACATCTTAGTTTTTAAATGCATAGTAAGGAGCAAGGGAAAAAAGATTCCTATACTAAAAAAAAATGTTAACTGTCCACCCACAGCCAAAGAGACACAGGGAAAACATGTCCAAAATCACTTTATTTGAAAGGAAGAAAACACAACAAGAATGTCCAAACCCTTTCCCAGCAAGAGACCTGCTTCTGAACTGCTGTGAGGAACAGTAAAAGGGGAAGGGCTGTCATACCGTGTTTCTAAGACTGAACAACTAGAGACAAGACCTGGGACAGATCTTCAATTTTTTATTATCTCTGAAGTTTAGGCAACAACCAGCATGTGCCTACCAAAACCAGTCTGCCATGTCTGGCCAGGCAGAAGTGAATCACCAGAAGATATATGTGAAAAACAGTTTCAGTAGAGCCACCAGATTAGAAAAAATAAAACCTCCCACCCATACCAGATAGTCAATTCCACCCCCTAGCCCAGGTATTTTTAGGCTTGCACTTTCAAGAGGCCAGTGGGATTTGTACAATACTATTCCAGTTCTATAGCCTCAAAATCATAGAACTTTTAAGTTGCTGACCTTTAACAGCACTATGAAAGCATAGAGGCTATTTTTATTCAGCTGTTTAGTTAGCATTATTGCCATTACTTTTTCCATTAGCTCATTCAGTATACCCACTTATCTAAGGCTGATTTTTTTCTTTTACACTAAAACACATTTCAACCAAGATCAAGTGCACATGGGTGTATCTGTATCCCTGTACACTGCCTATATTAATAGGCAACAGATTACAAGTCTCCTTTCTTCTGTGATGGTGTAAATAATTACCATGGGTGACTGGCTTAGAAAAATTACAGCAGGAACAGTATTTAAATAGTTACAGCAATATTGGATTTTACCTTTGGACAATTCTCTGCAGCTTTCCTGTGGCAAAGCTTTGCGCAAACAAAGACAATTTATTAAACACTAGTATTATGTTAAGACAAAGTGTTTGAAAACAGCACAGGCTTTGTTAAGAACAAAATGGTTGGTGCTCTCAGACGTGCCCATTTCCAACATTCATTAGCAGCCTGAGCCCCCAATCTCCAAGAGAATGGAGGAAAGAGTACGTAAAAGGACACCACTAACTTCCAAAGTATGAAATCTGCTACTGAAACATAGAAGTACTGCTATTCTGGATCACTTCCAAGTGGTTCCTCAGCTTGAACAGCCTGACTACACCAGGTGCATTCTTTGCATTGTAAGTAATGCTTATGTGAATATTCTGTATGATGAAACCATTCAGAAAGGTCTGAAAAGCTCAGAACACTCCAGAGGTATAAAGCAGTTGTTTATAAATTACAAAATCTTTCTGACTTCAGAACTCATCTATTGTTGCCATTAGATGTAGTTTCAGACAAAGCCATAAAAAAAAAAAAAAAAGGAACCTATAACACATCAGTACAGTTTTTCTTCTTTCCAGTATCCTTCAGTACTGAAATATTTTAGTGGGATGTATCTTGAGTGTAACATTGGAAATTGAACCAGTATGTAAGAAAATAAAGAAAGAAGAAAGCTTAGTTTAAATTAGCTTTTAAATTCCAAGCTTTATACCTAAAGAGCGGTATTAGTCAGCTTAGCGAAGATGCTAGAGCTTAATGACTCTGCTGTAGGCAAGACGTATGGCTTTTAAATTACACTAATCTGTGCAGAAAGCCTAGGGAAAAGCCCAAGGATTTACTCTGGAGTAAAAATTCAAAAATGCTGGCTACCATCAGATCATGCTACAGTAAGCAAATGATAACAGAATTCAGCTCTTTGAACTGCCGTCTAAAGTCAGTTTCCTTATTTACTGCCTTTTTATCCATGCAGTTTTGCTTAGACAGTTTGTGCAACAGTCCCTCTTCTCCCTGCTGTAGGGATGTGTTGTGTTTTGTAATCCACTGAAATCAAGGCTAGCAAAACACATACTCAAATTGCCACTTATTCCTAAGCTTCATGTTAAAGCTACAATAACTCCTCCTCCTCCTACCTCAGAGCACACTGTAGTGTTCCCCAGTTTCCTAATTCATTTTTGTAGCTTCTGTTTCTATGACTCTTTTGGAATTGCATATTTAAACAAAATGGTTCTCGATAAAGACTTCCCAGGCAATTCTTCATTTTGAAACTCTACTATCAGTACCAGCTTAGCTTTTGTGTTTTCTGTGGGCCAGAAAATACAAGTTTATTCCAGTTGCATCTTCCTAAAACAGTAGGTCTAGAACCTGAGAGGAATTTTATTGGATTACCCATTTTTAATCTGCATGATCTCCAGGGAGCATTTATTTCTTCTGTCTACCCAGTTTAGGCCACTGGTTGTAAATTCTTGAATGACAGTTGCAGAGCTGAAGCATCTTTCAAAAAAGGCCAATTCCTTCCAGGACAGAAGCATGCAGGCTTTGAGTGTGTGTAACAGGCTTATTCACAGTTCTGTTCTAGCAGCCATAGCACGCAAAAAGAGAGTGAAACTCTGACACTTGTTATTTAAAAACATTATGCTCAGCAGCACAGAAGCAGAGACTTGCAGGTGAGAGAGTTGAGCTTAGAAAAGGAAGCAATTTGCACAATAAAATGTGGGCTACTGAGCACACATAATAAACTGAAGCCAGTCACTATTCTAAAGAGTCCTCTTACAAACTCCTTCACAAGCATAGAGTCACTTGAGCATATATCAGGTCACAAAAAACTTCAAACGAAGTCCACAACAAAAAAAGTGCTGTCAAAGCTTGACTGATTGCTCATTTTTTAGTAGCTAGATCTAGCTTAAATCTCAAAATACCTCAAAAGATCTGGTATTTGTCTTTATGTGTACATGCAAGAGGCATGAGTTCTAACTAAGGATCTGGAATCTCCTTTTTTTTTGTTTTGTTAATACAACTGAAGTTTTGCAGAAGCATGCACCATCTACCCAGCACAAATACCATGTCCTTGAATTAGCTATACTCAGGACTGCCAAAATAATTTGGAGGACAATGAAAGACACTGAAAACAGATGGAAAATATAGAGGATTCAAGGGCGAGGGAGTGCAGCAAGAATGAGAGTAGATAGAAATATACACTGGGAAGTACCACCATTAACTATGTAAACAAGGCATCAAGGACTGGGCATTCAGCCAGCGCTGGTGTTTGTGTCAAACACATTTGGTTGAACTGGGGTTTTATCTGTTCGTCTTTAACAACTTCCTAGGTAGAAACCAAAATTTCATGAGTACAAGAAAAGTAGTTATCAGTGTGAAAAAAGGAGTCATTCATAGTCCCTTAATCTACAGAACAGGTTTTAACATCCACATGAGCATGTAAGCCTGTAGCAAACATTTACAGCCAGTGTGGCTGTTCCACCACTGTATGAGCAGTAGAGCATGAACATAGGTGTCTTGCATGTGCAAGTGGGAAACAAGACTGTCTTCAAGAGAAGAGTTAGGCAAGTGTGCATATCTCACAAGGTCTGCAAGTATCTGCATATGTGCTGTGTCTCCATGCAAGTATTATCCATAGTGCAAAAGAATGGATTGCTAAAATTTGTGTAGTTAGCATGTACACCTTCACAACCTCACTACTACAAGGTCTGAAGTGCCCAAGGCTACACTCCCCAAGGAGCAGTTCATCTTCCATCCCAACACTGGATATATACAGCAGTATATATGATGATCTGAAAAACATCAGCGAGGAAGCAAAAAAAGAAACAATGCCTTTTGAAGCCATACATTTCTGATAGTCAAGCTTTGAGGGGACAAAACTAACATCTAGAAAGCCTCAACAGAAAATGTCAAAACGGTAATATGTCTGATGCTGTAGCAGATGAAGCAGAGCATTAGTAACATACTGAAGCAGTCTACAGACAGCACATGTCAGCAGTACTCTACTCTGATCTGGATACAGATGTAGAGAGAAGCTTACAAGACTCTCTTCTGCAGTCAACAGAAATTGCCTAAAAGCGTATGTACTAGAGACATACTAAATTTTGCAAGCCTACACGATTACTGCCACCTCTTTCTGGAAGTCTACTTTAATCAGGCTATTTTAAAAATCAGAGGAATATTAGCTTTATGGAATGAGTGATTTAATACGAGTACAGTGATTCAGAGACCTACTCTAATGGTAAGACCATGGCATCACCAGGTTGTGTCTTGGAAATACCCAAAAACAAAAACAACAAATGCAAGCACATGACTCTATTTTTTATGGTCACATTTCAGAAGTAGCCCATTCTTGCACGAAGCACTGTTAACAACTAAATAATTACCAAATAAATAAATAAATAAATATCTCCCTCTTAAGTTTATATCCTCTGCTGAGGGGTCCACTTCAGTATTCTGTCTGATGAGCTTTGGAAGAGCCTTGTTACAAAAGCTGACATTAAATGTTCACTGTGGTCAGATGTCCTGCAGAGTTTTTTGCACTAATACTTATGAAGTGAGGTGACCAAGTAAGCTCCTTGGGTTTCTTTGCTCAAGCACTGACTGGTAAATATGTAAGAGCATATCCACAGGTTCACCAGACACTGCATACCATGTGCTGGGAGCAGCCAGACAGATTTGGGAGTGGCACATTCACAAATTAAAAATTTATCTATTTACAGTCACACAAGACTGAACAGCAGAAATCAGACCATTTCATTTGAAATATCTGTCAAGCCACGGCTAGGACTGATAACTATATTCATGGCTTTCATCTCACACAATACTGACACAGCTCAATTCCCATCTAGTTCCTTGCTCTCTAGTGACAGGCTGCTACACAGAACTGACAGATTAAGAGGAACATAGTACTTTGGCAGGTTAAGACCCATAGACTTAGATGAACATAAACAAACATACTTTTTGCACCATTTATCCTACCTGTATAATGCAAACTGTTTAAAAATACAGCTACTCTGAGTACATGATCAAGCTTCTCTTACTCCACATGGCAACATCTTTTTGCTCCAATAATCTTTCTACAACTACAGTTACTGGCAGGAACAACATCTAAGAACTAAGTGCTGTTATTTACTTATAAAGATGTGATGGAGAGCCTTCCACTTACAATGCTTTTTCCCATGCTAGTTAATGGAAACTGATTAAGGGAATTTCAACACTCGCTCTTCTGCCTAGAGACAGGAAAGCACATCACAAACTTTTGGAGATGAAAGGGACCACCACCAGAAGACACTCTGTTTAGCCTGCAGTGGGATTGGAACAAAACTTATAGGAGGAATATAACACAGTCGTACAAGAATGGTTGCTCTTCACATAATGTTACTAAATCTACTAAGATGTGTGTATGGTATCAATCATTTGACAACTGACAATAGCTGCAAAGGAGATGTATATCATTAACATTGTACATAACTTAGCATTCCACCCATATCAGATCAATAAAAACTACTAGCACGAAGTTCAGACATGCCTATACAGGGACTGCAAAACAGAGCTTGGTCAGGTCCCAAGAAATTAATCTGCCTTATCTGGTAACAGATTACCCATAGACAAGTCTAGGAAGATACAAAACTTTTATGTTTCACATTTCTCGTTATTTTTTATATAGACGTGTGTATACACACACACACAATTCTATGTATATATATAATTGTTTAATGTAGCCAGTTCCTTCTACATCTACATATCTATACCCAATATTTTCAAAAAAACCTGAGCTGTGCCACTCGATTTTGATGGAACAGAGAAACTGCACAGTGTCCTCATTGGAACTTCTTCCCCCAATTACTCATCCTGGGCACTGTAATACATTTAATTCATTAATATTCAGATGGTTCTCCTGCTTCAGTCACTTTGATTGATGCTGTTAATGGTAACGAACTATGGAACAGAGTAAATGGTGAGTGACAACATGCTGATACAGCCTCCAATAACACATGCAGAATTAAACAAATGAAGAACAAAAAAAAAAAAAAAAAAAAGCCTTAGAACTTACTGTCCAAAACTTTATGAAGTACTGCAAGACTGTAGCAGCAACAAACAGACAGTACAGTAAGGAATACATTAAAAACAGGAGGAAGAATTTGTAGTTAGAAAATCCCACACAATTATTCACCCTAGAAGGAGGGGAAAGAGAAAGAGGTTACTATGATATTAAAAAAAAAAAAAACAACCAAGAAACAAAAAATAAAAAAACCCCAATACATTCAGCTTTTACAGAGCATAATGTGTATGATGCCAGTGGTATGTCCAAAACAGTCTGGCACTAGTGTTCCAGAAGCATTTTAAGCCACCATTTTGAATGAAATCGTCTTCCTCAGGCCAAATGATGTGGGCCCCTCACATAAATTTTGTCCCCCATGAAGTTCTACGGGACAGGACATGAGCTAGCAAAGCATATGATACATACAGTCTGTATAGGAAGAATCTCACATGCTATGAACTAATTGTAGCCATCATGGAAGATAATACAAGCCTCTCTAATTTCAGTGGTTACAAAACCACCTTCAAGTCAACTACTGGTAGAGTATTCTTATAGTGACAGCAGGTAATACTTTTACTGACTACCAATGAATACAAACTGCAGAAGAGTAATTGTCTGAGTAGGTCTTAGGTATGTATCATCCAGAATTGAGAACTACTTGTTTTCACAGCATAGTGGGTATCTCTTCTCCTGGTAACAATACCAAACTAAACAAAAGGAAGAAATGCCATTTTTCTCAGGTCTCATTAACGCCAGGGTTTCTCTATATAAAGAGAAATTGCATGTTTTGGGCTACTGGGCCTGTAACAGTATGTTACAACACATCAGGAGCAAGCTTTATTTTCACATATTAAAGCCTCAAGAAGTTATGTGAAAAATCTTAGTTTTACTTCAAAGTTGTACTTTTGAAGCAGAATCTAATTCATGTGGGATCTCATTCATTATTATTACTGATTATTTTTTCTTTAAACTTACCATGGACAGTGGTGATCCATTTTTAGTACACATCTGAAAGAGAATTTCCAGCAAGTTAAAGGAAAAAATACATTTTCTAAGACACATACTTCTAGCTTCTACAGTTTGGGGTTGGGGCGGGGTGGAGGGTGGTGGTGTTGGGTTTTTTCTTTTTCTTTTGTTTGTTTTTTAAAGTATTCTGCCACACTGTATATTTTTCAAGTCCTTCTCAATTCATGCCAATTCTCTGTACTACAGCAGACGTCCTTTCACACAAAAAGACCAAGTGAGATTCACAGAAATTTTGAACAGAGTCTCTTAAATTAACAGGCGGAGCATTGTTGAGCACCACCATGCAGTAATTCATTAAGCCATGCTAGTTTTACATGTACATTGAGAGAAAACAAATCCTAAGGATCCTTCAAGCATTGTGTGGGTAAAGTATGTTAGCCTGGCATTCACTCCAACTAAGTCTATCTTAGGGCTATTTTTGCTACCTTTTTTTGTTTGCTCCTTGCTTGTTTGTTTTTTAAAGCTAATTAAGGAAAAGAGCAGCGCAGTGGGCAATCTGAACAGTCACATGCCATTTCCATCCAGTTCTAGTATAAGGACAGACACTAGACATTTCAGACACATTCACTGTATTTGCTAATAAATTAGATTTTAGCCAAAAGACATGTATTAGGATCTTCAGTTAACTACATTTCCTCAAGCTCAGCCTACTGAAGTCTCACTCATAGCTTCAGTCTTCAGTGCCCTTACAGATTCATCTGATGATTCAGAATCAAGCTAGGGAATAAGAGGGATGTCTTTGAAATGGTTAAGGAATGCAATTCCACTGTCAATCTCTTAAGATTTTTAGCATTATTAATAGCACACATCTGTTTCAATGCTGCAAAATCAAGATATAATAGTTCTATAATAAGTATTTGCTGGTGCTGGTATCTCAGATCTGCCTTTCTTTACTTTCAATTGCTGATTTTTAATTAATTTATTTATTAATATAAGCACTGTTTTACAAAGCCTCAAGCAGGTTTCCTAAAAAGTTCTGCTGCTTTGGACAATGGGGCAACAATAAGAATATTACACCAACTGGAGGAACTTTGCTCTTTCATTAAATCCAAGTATTGAGGGTCTGAGAGAGGAACAAATAATAATAAAACCTGTTGTGCAGGGCTGACACACCAAAGACATGAACAAACTAAAGTGATGATCACCGGAGAGAGAAAAACCCATCATTTCAGATACAGTAACTTACATGTCACATGCAGAACAGTGGTGGCAGCGGTCGGGTTTGATTAGCTGGCATCGATCACAGTATCTGATTGCTGCATTTAAGTGACAAGGGTCAAGTCATTAGAACTCATTTAATTTTACAAAGGTTTTCTCCCTTAACATGAACTGAATCTTAAAGAGCTTCCTGCCCTTCCCTACCACACTTGTTCTCACAGGCCTTCATGTGCCTACTCTCATAGAATATGTACTTCTGATTTTTTTTAAGAAATGTAAAATATGAAAGTATTTTAAACACTTCGATCTATTACCACTGTACTGAGTCCATTTCCATTTACTCTTCGGCTTCCCAGACTTCCCATCCTTCATCCTCTGGCACTGATCCCCTGTGGCTTGCTTTCTTTCCCCTCTGGACAGGGTACTCAAACATCCCATTGTCAAAACACGTTCTTTCAGCAAGCCAACTTTCCGCATTAGCTTTCTCTATCCTCTTCACCAAATTGTTATCTAGCAGACTGTTCAGTAAATCAGCTCTTCCTCATCTTTCCTGGATATTTTTAAACAAGCCTTCAGGCTCTTCTCAATGGAAACAAGACATCAGCACAAGCAGTTTGGAAGGGGGAGGAAAGGCAACACCTACAACTAAGCAGAACTGCTAAGAGCTGGAAAGAGCTTCCCAGACCTCTCTAGGAACTTAGGACTGGGATTCCCATAAAGGGAGGCTTATATTCAGAAATGCCAGGTGTCCTTAGACTTTGGAAAGTCACAACTTTGGTAACAGTATTCTGAGTAGTTTATGTTTTTGGAAAACTCTACAGGGTTCCTAGTTTCAATAAAAAGAAACAGATTTATATACATATAAAAGCTAGATTTTTTTTTAAGAATATACATATGCATAAGACAGCAGTTTCACAGATCATTCATATACAAGTTGAAATCAAAATGTCTATACATATTAAAAGCAAATACAGAAATAGCCCGTAACTAGCTTTGTACTGAATTACAGATGGGAATGAAGTAACATTTATTCGTTCTTAAATTCTAGCCTTAAGTATGATGTTTCTCTTCC